TGGAAGAGGTAAACTAACTGTAATTTACTCTGTTTCTGTCTTTCCTTTTAAATTTGTGAATAGCCTCCTGTAGTCCTGAGGTGCTCCTGCCTCTTCTTCTGATCATCCCTTTACTTATCTCTTCAAAGTTTTGTGTGCCCCTTCATATATTTATGTTAGTTACGCCTCTCCCAGTGAGCTCAGAGTTCCTGGGAATGTACAAGTACACATCTGAGAACTAGCAAATGGTCTCCGGTGGTTCCCAGACCCTTAGTCACGTGACACTTTATAGTTCCAACTATCAGAATTACTTGCATCAGAAATGTAATATTCAGATAGTATTTATTGATCCCTGCTTTTCCAAGTGCTCTACTCAGTGCTATAGCTGCAAAGCCATAATGGTCTCAGTGCTTAGCAAACTCAGGGTGTGTTGCAGAGTGGTGGCAGGTCAGTGAGCGAAACATCTCCTGTGGTGTGGAAAGGAAGAACAAGACCAGAGACGTGGGAGTGAGACACCAGATAGACACATTGGAGAAGATTTCCTCAGGGCAGGGGACTGCAGAGCCAGGTCCTAAAGAAAAGGAAGTGAGTTGGGGGCTGAATTTGAGGTGGAGGGTGGGGTATGAGAATGGTGTGTGTTCCAGGTAGCAGGAAGCATAAACAAAGCCTTGAAGGCTGAGTTCATTTGGAAACAAATAGTTCCCAAAAATTGTATCTTCTCTGTAGTTGGTCATTAGGGCTTTCTCAGAGAAGCTGCTTGAAAGCCCAAGAACACTGCAGCCACGTTAGGAAGTGCTTAACAGAAAAAATAAGCATGAAATGAAGTTTCATATAAAGCAACATCTTAAACAAATGTGCAGTTGCCTCAAGTGAATAAAATGTTGACATCAAATGCAAAAGTCATTCTGCTGTGGAAAAAACACAGCTGGTTATTTGGGATTAAGTTCACTGTGGTAATATGAAATTCACTGTTACGTTAGCTGGGGGATTTGTCATTGTTTAACCAGAGCTGTTCATTATCACAGAATGTAGGACCAGGATTTCATTCAGACATCTAAAGAGCTAAAGAGAGACCACAATGAAGCAAGTAAGAGAAAGTACTGAGACTCTAAATCACTTAAAAACCAAATGGTGAACTGTGTGAGTTCACCATGATTGAACAAGGAAAAAACAAACTTGGGGAGCAGGCAAAAGAGGCAGATTTAGGTGTACACCAAGGTTACCGTGATGCTAATTAGCAATATGTTGAAGTCAGGAGTCCATAATACTAGTTTGAAGCATTTCTAGTGCCTCACTTTGTTATTCCTCTGCTTTTTCTGACTTATCTTATCGATGATGAAAAAAAAAAGAAGCAGAAAAAGGATGAACATGACCTCTTAACCTTGGATTTTCAGCCTTCTCTAGTTTATTGTATTTGCAGTAATTTAATCTGATTCTCATAATAAATACATAAAATGAAGACAACTGAAGTGAAAACTAAAATTTAAGAGACAAAGGACTATTAAAGGACAAAAGTTCTAGTCTTTGGATTCTACCTAAGTGTTCTTTGTGATACTGCATCAATTTATTAGGGTTTATTTTTAACCGTGAAGAACGCAGTAATTGTTCCTCCTTCGTGAATCACTAATATATGCAGCTGCTATAGCACAGTGAGAGGCTTGGCCAGCATGTTAGAATAGAGTGCTAACGTGGGAGTTAGTCATAGCGTGGCCTCATAGCAAGTCCATTGTGGAACACTGAAACTGTGACATTTTTAATCTTTCTGATTTCCATTTTCTCTCTGTTTTTGATCTTTGTTATGTCTTCAAGCTAAATATGAATGGAGTCATCTAGCTACATTGTTCTAACTGCAAGAATACACTCGCCAGTTTCCTAGGCAAGCCATATGGTTGCCTCCAAAAATACATTGTGTTTTCATTAGTTTTGTGAATCTCAGGAATTGTGTTTAAGCCTTTTTCTGTCACATTTTATGTAAGAATTTAGAAGTTCATAAATTCCATTGTAGGTTGTAGTAATGTTAAATATAAGTTATATTTATACCTGCTAACATTTATTGATGAATGCTGGGCAGTTGGATTTCATTTAAGCCTAGCAATAACCCTGTAAATTAAGGTGGGTAAGGAATCATAAGCACACAGATCGTGCGTAAATAGTGTTACACATGATATTTGGCTCTAGCCCACACTGTTTACCACCATGATATATTACGTATTCAGAAAATGGTCTGTAAATGTCTGTCTTGGTAGGGTGCAATTAATGCTATCAGTTGAAATTCATGATTCCCCCTAAAATACAGTTGGTTTTTCATAAAAATCCAAGTGACTGTTTTCACACCAGATATACATCTTGCCCTCAAATGATGAGAACAAAATAAAAGCTCCCTACAGAAAATGTTCTTTAGAGGACTATAGATTATTCAGTTTGTTTTAAGTCAGCCTTGAAATTCACTGACACGCATTATTTGAATTATATTAAATGTAAGAAGAACTGACAACTCTAGAAGTTCAAATATTCAGCATTAATTTCAGCAGTTTAATTTGGCTTATGAGATGTGCAAAATTTGAAATCTTGAAAGGAAAATGCTTAAATGTGAAGTGAAAGTGATGGTCTCCTTTTAAATGTAGGTTTTCTTATGGGCAAGATTTAGAAACATGGAACTTATTTTTAAAGGTAATTTCTATCCACTTTGTGTATATTTATCACCACTTTTGACAGATAGAGTTGCCCTTTAAAAAAATCTATCAAAGATTCCCAGCAGACTTTCCTTTCCCATTCATTTTTTCATGAATACTTTCATTCAAAAACTATTGGATGACTTTTATGCCTTACACTACCTTAAGTACACTAGAGCCTTTAGATTAGTAGTGTGCTGCAGAGCAGAGTGGTTATGAGGAATAAAATCTTAACTAAACCTAGTTATCTGAAATTGACATCTGACACTGTAGTTGATCAGATTCTACTTTGGGAAAAGGTATAAACTAGGTAACAAATTCATGTTTAAACTGGTGAAATTTGAAATGGTAAACATAATATCGATGTTGTACTTGGTGTATTTAAATCTGAGAGGCAAAAACAAAAGTACTCATTTATAAGACAAGATCTAGAATGTACTGAGTTCACTTTCAACTTTTCACTGAATATGTAAAATCCTGGCTGTTGGTATTTTAAAAAGGAGCTTACTCATAACTGTAAGTAAATGATTTGAAGATCAGATAATCAGAAGTAACATTTCAATTGTGTTCCCTTGGGGCTATTTTTATATTAAGAGTAGGGTGGGTTGGGGAGGAACTTACTGGGTAAAAAACCTATTTTCTGTTCTTTTTTTCTTTTTATTATTATTTAAAGAAAGAAACAGAAAAAAGATACATGGAGATTAAAAAAAGGGTAGAAATAATACAGAATTACAGAAAAATAAACGGTAAGAAATCACCAGTTGATGTTACATATTGTCATCTTAGAAATAGTTGTTCAGGTTACAAAATTATGTAAAGTGACATTCATATAGTGACACTTCTGCTCAATGGTCTAACAAAAACTTAGTAATATGGTTATCAGTCCTACACACTTGTTTTTTATCTTAAAGAGGGGACGATTAAACATCAAAGCAGAACAAAACAGTTCAAAAAGAAACAATTTAAAGAAATACAGATTTCAAAGCAAGTTCTCTGGAGATCTTCACTGTTTATCTAATTGTCTCTAGTTTCTTCCAAATAGTTGTCCCCATCTTCACGCACATTAAATACATACTGCATATTATAGAACTAATCAAATCATTACAGGATGATGAAGGCTTTTTAGGTCTTCAAGATCTGACATTGGAGAAGACAATAATAACTACCATAGCTATTTTCTTAATACTTCTTTTGTTTATGTTTGCAGAAAGGAACTGTGACTAAAAAAATGTTAAAAAATGTGCATTTAGACAAGCTCACATATTTCACTGATAAGCAAATTGAAGTTCAGCTATACTCTAGAAGTAACATAGAAAAAAAATAAATATAATCATAATATGCCACACTACTGGGTCAGTTAGTGATCAGTTTTATGTGATTGTTAGATCTCAAAATGATAAAAAAAAATTTTGTGTGTGTGACATTCTCATTAAATTGTTCAGGTTGGCCAGGAACTTAGAATCCTCTTATTTGTGCCTCCCAAGTAGTTGAGATTACAGGCATGCTTTTTAATTTAGTGTTTCTATTTAGCAATTATAGATTGTTGCCACAACTGAGGCAAGATATGGAGACCAGAACTCTTGTATCTACTCATCCTCATTGTGGTATACTAAGAAAAAAATGTAAATTCTGACCATGGAATTAACTACCAAGGGTGACATGTTCATATCAAGACTTGAAAATAATAAAGGTGGGATTGCATGATGTTTTTAAGAGAATTAAGTCCTCATCTACCATAATAAGACCAGGAGTTAATGTCTAAATTTAATTAATCAGGAAATAAGTGGCATAGTGAACATAATATTTCAAATGTGAATCTCAAAAATGTATATAGGAAAATCCTTAAAAATTGAAATATATTTCCAATTAAAGGGGAAGGCAAGGCCTTGCTGTTTCTGTGTATCTGTTTTTATAACAAATAAATTAATCTTTTTGTTGTTTTTAAAGGGAACTTTGGTATTTGTGTTCTAAATATGTTTCTTGTCCTTGGAGAACTGCTCATATTTTTCAGAAATCATTCTCTGGAAGGAAAAATAAGCAGGATATTAGAAGTAAAATTTTACTTCAGGTTATACAAGATTAAGAGGTTTGAGAGGTCATACATGTGGCCTGGCATTTCTCAAATAAAACATGAATACCCTTGGCTGTTCACTTGGCATCCTTCCTAAATTACTTCAGGGACAGAAACTGCCTCTAGAAGAGCAGAAAGATGGCTCTGCGAAGATTTTCTAAGGTGTATTTTGAAGACAATTTTCCTGGTAGTTGCTATTTGGTCTTTAGAAACACCTATTCTAAATAAGAATTGTTCATTAACTACTGTTTCTGATGGGTCTTCTTTGTTTAAAACAGGGAAATGCACATAAAATCATGGAAAAATGTACATTACCACTTACTGGAAAGCAATGTGTCAACCGCATTATTACAGAAAAGGTAGAGTGCCTTTCTCTTTTGTTTCCTCTAATATCTACTGTTACTTTTTCTTAAGACAACTTAGAATTTTTATGACCTTCTGAAAGTGTATTATGTGAGTAGTCATAGAAGTAATTTAGTTTGTGAATAGAATCAATAGGAAAATTCATCAATTTAATGTTTCTTAATGTAGAATTCTTCATGTGCAACTCTGGAAATTTACATATACACAACAAAATTGAACCGTTCTTGGTAACTTTGACACTCTGATATAATCAAAGAGAGTTTTATTGATCCTTCTATTTTGACGATGAAAGTATCAAACTGGATGATACATATATATAATTTATATACATATATAAATTTTTTTCTTTGCTTTCTTGAATCATGAGTATAAATTTTTGGATTTTGCATTAGAAAACTCAGTCAAAATGGGCTTTTAATCATGCAGGTGTAAATTGCAGTATAGGCTTCACAATGACCCAAGAAAATTCCTGTATTTCTTGTATGTTTTTGCCTTTACCTACTAACATTTCAGGGCCTCTTTAGACTTTTTCTTCTGAGGCAGAAACTGTTGACCAGTGTTACAACTGGAAGCTGCTCAAATGAGAAACATTGTGGGCAGCTGTCTACAGTTACATTTCTATCTCAGATTTGAGTTTAGTATGTTGGTATGTCATGATTCCTACAAGTCAATGGAAAGAGGCATTTTTGTGATTCAGTATCATAATGAAATCACAAAACAGAATTATCTATGTTGTGGGTTTTTTCTTCTTTTTTCTTTTTGATCTCCTTTTGCCAAGGGCCATACCTGTAGTGTCTTGTAGTAAGATAATTCACTAACCCTCAAGCAACCTAGAGCAGGTCTTTGAAGTAGGTAAGGTTCAAAAGCCACATTTGAAGGAAAGTTCTATTCTATGATGCCTCCTCAAAATTGTTTATGTGAAATTTCTTAAATGTGACTTGTGGAGAATAAGTGCTATTGATGTAGGGGAATAAAACTCCCCACCTACTAGATATCCAGTATGAGTTCATGCTCTCTAAAATCGAAGAATGAATTTTAGGAACAGTGGAGGTGAAGAGCAGAATATATTACTGAGAAAGAAAGCTTCTGTCTGAGAGAGACAGAATGGGTCCCCACTGGGTTGCCAAGGACCTTGTATTTTCTAGGGACTTTTATAGAGTAAAACCATGAGGTAAGTCAGATCTAAGGTGGGGAATAAATGGGAACTCATAGGTGGCCATGAGGTGGGACAGAACTATGGTAAACTAGTAAGATCAATTGCTCAGGTAGAATTGATTAAATCAAGGACAAATGGGGAAGTGAGTCATGTAGCAAATGAGTGTGCTTAAAGAGCAGTGACTCTGTAGGTGGCTGGGATAGTGACTCCTGGTTTCCTAAAGGTGATCCATAACTAGAGTATCAATCCCTGATGTTTATACTTGGGGTGTGGTTGCATTAGTATTTTCTTTTGTCTTGAGATCTGATCCACAGCAGGAGGTATCTGTCTCCTCCAAGGTCACAAGATATCTGGTCCTCTGTACTGGCTCCCTGGAGAGCCTAACCCTGTCTGACTGCTATAATGTTTCTGTCTAACTCAGCTGTCTATAACACTATTTCAGTTACTTTTCTCTCCTTGCTGAGACAAAATACCTGACACCCAAAGTTAAGGAAGGAAAAGTTGATTAGATCATATTTGTGGAGGTTTTAGTCCATAATCAGCTTGCTCCAAGGTAGGGTGGCACAGGACAGGGCCAACATTTCAAGAAAACTACAAGAGTGACAAGGAGAGGAGAACATTCCTCTTTTCCTCCCCTATAATGTGTATGCAGGCTACCAGCCCTTGAGTGAGGGTAGCATTCACAGTCTCAGTGCCCTCGTCTAGCACAGGCTCAGGATTTTCAGACAGTGAGGACCCCCGGCCGCTGCTGAGTTACTTAAACTTCTCAAATTGATATAATGAGTCAATCATAACATGCTGTAAAGGATGAAATATTTTATCTCGGCATTTATTCATTGAGTCCTTGTGTTTGTTGAATTTCCTAAAAACTGTGGAAACAGCTTGAGAGGATCTACTGATTTGGAAATAGGATAGATCAGTCCTTGATCCTATTTTCTTAACTAAAGTAGTAGCTGGGTAAGGATAATTCGAGCAACATTCTTTCCCGGTGTGATCTTCCCCTTCTCCCAAGTAAGCCTCTCCCCTTCTATATATCCTTTCCTCATTCTTACAAGTTTAGTACTTCTGCCTATAAAATCTCCCACTCCCCTTTCTGGCCCTTCAAATCTTACCCATCCTGTAAACTTCTGGCAAGTTCCATTTCTGTCACAACGAGGTGTCACGCCAATTTCACACACAACAGTTTCATTCTTAAAGTGAATCACCACTCGCTTTGGCACTTACCTCCTAATACCTGGGTTTTCTTAAGATGTATAGCTTTGTTTGTCAGCTTTCTGTTGCTGACATACACAATTTACAGGAGAAAACGGTTCAATTGGCTCATGGTTTCAGAGATTTCAGTCTGTGGTTGTTTGGGTCCAAGGTAGAGCCATCATAGTGGAAGAACATTGCAGAAGAAATAAGTTCAACTCAATTCCAGGAAGCAGAGAGGCCCAGAGAGGAAGGGGGCCAGGGGCCAGATGTAACCCTCAGGTCATGGCTCCATGAGCCACACAGACACACGTAGAAGCACGCTTTACTAATTTCTCAAGCCAGTTTAATTAACCATCAAGATTAATTGCAACATAATGTTATTTATATTTACTGTGATTTAAAAAAAACCTTTTGTATCTTTTTATCCATCTAAACTGTTTTTTTCTTTTGTTCATTTTGTAAGTGTTTTTAAGCACTGTGAAGGAGACTATTCCCAACAGTTGTATACAAAAAGGAGAAAGGCACTTTTCAGAGTGTGAGATAGATTTCACACATCAGCAGCATTTAAAGTAATAAACAGCACAGAGGACGCAGTAGAGATGTATACCAGATGCTAAGTTAAGAATAACCTAAAGGATATCCACCTGACAGCCTGGGCAGCAATACCAAGGAAAACTTTTAGGTACTGTATATCACATGCAATGTTTGTAAGACATTGCATAGTTTGTACCTTTTCTTCTCACCTTTTTTCCTCCCTTTACATTCTCCTCTTCAGCCATACTGAACTACTTTTTTGAGGTATGTTGCATTCGAAGACATGGGACTTTGGCCATTCTGAATCTCTCTGTATCGTTATTCTCACTCGATCCATCTGGTAATTCTTGCTCATCTTTTGCCTCAGCTATACATTTGTTATTTTCACCCCTCTGGCAGGTATTCTGGGTGCTTCCCTGAATACTTGTACTTACCCTAACTTAGCACTGACAACTGTATTGAAATGGCCTTGCCACTCTGTCTATTTCATTCATAGCTCTTAATCCAACATTCAACATGGTGCCTGACTTAGGCTCAGTAAATACTCATTAAATAAATGTACCACTGCTTTGCTGGCTGAGAAAGCTGATAGATTGAGTTGTGAGCCTTGAAAGACAGGAATTTTATGTTAGAAAAAACAAAACACTAAGATCTTACAGGTAAAAGGAAGAAAGCATGTAAAGTCCCAGATGAGTTAGGAAAACATGGCCTGTAGATGGTCGTTTAGAGCAAGGGCACACTCAGAATATGAAGGCTAAGGTGGAAAAAACAAGGACCAGTAACAGAAGAGTACAGGTGACTGGTTAAGAAATGTTCTTATCAGGAAGGGAGTGGGGAACACTCCCATGACTTTTGGTAGTTAGGGGAATGATTGATTAGATTTTTTTTAAAGAAAAAACATTGGCATTTTTGTAAAAGAGAGGGAGAAGAGATGAGATAGTCCACTTAGAAGGAGTCATGACGGGTATAATTGAGAAATTCAAGATCCTAATTTACACAATGGAAAGAGAGATTTGAATGAGATTTAAGAGATGGACTTGACCTAATTTGATGATGAATAGGACACAGCTGTTAAGACAGAGATGATTCTCAAATTTTTTGGCTAGAGAGGAAAACTTGTTGACCTGTTATATCTTTAGGAGCTATCACAGACAAGTCTTAAAGACTCAACACATTTTTAAAAGTGCTGTGGTTGCCAGGGATTTAGCTCAACGCCTAAGCGTCTGCCTGGCAAGCGCAAGATCATGAGTTTGATCCCCAGTACCAAAACAAAAAAAAAAAATTCTGTGGTTTCTTCATTTGTCAACATTGCTTACTCACCATTTCTGAGGTCTCCCACTGCAAGGAGTATTTAATCAGGTGCACATGAAGATTCACGCTCAGTATCTGCAGTTCTACAGGGAATAATATGTCGGGTCCTGAGGGCCTATTGGTAGTAAATATGATAGCACATATTTTCTGTGCCAAAGCATTAACTTAAATTTTTATAGAATTGTTACTGTTTTGAAGTCTGACAATAATGATACCTGTTCAATGTGGGCAACAGATGGAACAGAAAGACCCATTTCTTATCTACTGTGAGTCTGGCTCAGTTTTTATTTTTAGTATGTCACCTTAAATTTGATAGTGTCAAACTAGGAAAGAGAGAGTCAAGGTAAATCAGTTACTTAGGTACTATCTCAGATTTGTTTGATGAATTTTTCAGCAGGTCAGAGTCATGTTTTCTCCTGGGTTTCATCTAGCTATAGATGAGATTCTGGTACCATTTTGAGGAAAATGCAGCTTTAGAATGCTTATACCTAACAAGCCAGCTAAATATGGCATACAGTTGCAAAATTGAGCTGATACTAAGACTTACTATGCTAAGTGCTAAATACAGAAATATATGCTAATGCTGAAGCAAAGGCAGCCAATCTGACCAAACCTACTTTACCAAATCACAGAATTGTTCTGGGGCTTGTGGAATGTATTGAAGGCACTAAAAGAAGTATTAGTGGTGACAATTGGTATAGCCCAGTGGAACTTCTTGATGAATTTTAAAAGAAAAACCAGACTTATTTAGGCTCTCTGAAAAAAAAATAAGGCAATAGCACTTTAGACTTTCTAGCAAATAGAAAACAAATTATTCAGTCATCTGTATTTAGATTTTATGCTACCTTTACATCATTTTCACATAGCAAAAAAGGTGAAAGTGTCAAGTGTATACCACAGTTGAGTCTGCTGACAAACAAACTTAAAAGCCTGATATTGTTCACTTTTATACTAACAACAAATCTGGAGTTGACACTTTTGATGGAAACTGTGTATTATATTCGATGTCCATGAGAACCAACTGCTGGCCAGTGGCATTTTTTAGATGCCATTCTAAATGTGGGTGTTAACCCCTGTGTATTGTACTGGTTTGTACAGTGAGGTGAAATGATAAAATGTTTTGCTTTTACTAAACCTCCTGAGATGCAGTTAATTGAGGAAAATCTGTGTTCCATACGTACAAAAACTTATAGCAGAAATCCTAGGAATGGAGATTCCTGTTACAGAAGATCTCAGACAACCTACTGATAAAAACAATAGAAGAAAGTATGCACCTGCCCCAGCAGCAAGGACAGAAATACTACTATCCAATGGAATGCCTCTAAAATGCCAATTTGTAATCAGTGCTATAAAAAACTTTGTCCTAAGTGTTGTAAAAATTAATTTTATAAATACTTATGTAATGCATAATCATATAGCATAAATTTTCTTTTATAAAAGATAAAATTAAATTTATGGCTGTTGAGGATCCATGAGAAGTACATACAAACCTAGAATGAGTCAGTGGTCACTGCAAGTTGATGAAACCCAAAACTATATGAAACCCACAGAAGGTGGGAAAAGAATAGCTTCATTGAACAGTCTCAGTTGATACTTTGAAGATACCTAGTCTGAGATATTGATTAACAGTTGGAAACTTGGGTCTAGAGCTCATAGGAAAGTCAGTAATTGAATAAACTTCTAGGAGTCATTAGCATGTGAGGATAACTGGAGCCTTAACTGTATGTGGCATTGATAGCAAAAATGAGGAAAGACAGGGGCAGCTAAGTTTAGGACTTTGGGTACCTCAAGGAAAGGAATGTTGAACATTCACTACTGTGCTGTGTACAGAAGAGATGCTTAACAGGCACTCTCTGAGTGAGTGAGAGAGAGAGAGAGAGAGAGAGAGAGAGAGAGAGAGAGAGAGAGAGAGACAGAGAGAGAGAGAGAGAGAGAGAGAGAGAGCGAGAGCGAGAGAGAATGCTGTTACAGGCAGTGGATGTGTCCAACCTTGCAGTGTCACGTAAAGGACTGAAGTTCCGCTACTATGTCCATGGAAAATTCCATCAAGTTACCCTTTGGAAGATCCTTTGGGTTCACTCCGACCCTGATGGCTTTCTGCTGCTAGAATGAGATTATGAAAGATGCCTTTCTCATCAGCACCAGGGTATAATTAACTGCTAACTATAATATAGCCTTTATACTGTGATAAGGTAATTAAGTTACTATAAAACAAAGTAGTTTCAAAATTACTCATAGTAGTCAATTTACTGTAGCTTTAAAGTTTTAGTCTTTATTTCTGTCAAGTTTTTGCTTGTACTTTATACCACTAAATGGAAATGTTTCAGAACATCTCTCTTTTTAAAAAATAGTATATCTTTGCCTTTCTAATGAGTGATCTTGGGAAATAATTAAAGTGAGATAAATATGTTAATAAAAGTTTTTTTAAGCAATAAGTCAATTGGCTATAGGTTTTCTCTTCCTGATTCTTAAGGTTTATCATCATTATTCCATAATTATATTCTCTCCAAATCATTTCTGTGCTTGTTCTTAATACTGAAGTTGAGAGACACTTTTTCTCTTATTTGTTCCATTTTCATAAATTAACCATTATTTATAATGCAGGAAAAGTAAAGCAACTTGACTAATAATTGAGACTTAGTTTCTGCAAAGGAAAAGTTTCCATGTAAGAAAAAAATTGTCATTTTGGATATGGCAATTAATGGGATATACCGACATTCCTCAGTAATCATTTTTTTCTCTTGGAATATTATGTCTGCAGAAAAATAGTTTTTTTTTAAATTTGTTTGTTGGGTTTTGTTAGAAATATAAAAACAAGCAAGTAAAAGGAAAGTTTGCTAAAATATTTTCTTTTAAGTTTAAATCATATTTTCCAGTAAAACCAACCATATTGGGAATGCAAGTATCTCGCATCTGTATTTTGCTTCTGGGGAAAAACATCAATTGGATGGAGAGAGTAATCATTCAGGACTTTGATTTGAGCTCACACACAATGAGTTAAGCTACTAAGGAGTAAGAACGTGCCTATACTGCATACTTGCTTCTCCCAGACATGGTACTTAGATTATGTGTTCTTACTATTTTTGTACTGTGTCAGAATTTTGGGGAGTATTTCTTATGATTCACATCTACAGTTGCAGACAGGTTCACTAAGAGTTGTTAGTTGTTATGCAGCACAACTGAAATTGCTCATTATATTTAAAAGATGGTATTCTTTTCTCCACATGTTGCTGGGTCCTGATATTAGCCTTCTAGCCAGGAGTGTTTTTAAAATAACACTTCAGGGTTTGACTTCAAAGGTAGTCTAAAGTAAAAGTTCATACTACGCAAAATAAAAGTTTTTATCCTAATATAATGGTTACATTTAAGTTAAATCCAGAGGGGAATTTAAGTGAAATCTCATTTAAGTATGAGAAACAGCACGCCACCCATGCAAGCTGAGATAGGGAATGGTACCCCAACACTGCAGAAGTTGAGATTAGAGCCTTTGGGAAACAGATTCAGTTCCTACCATGGAAGCCCCCCATCAGTAGATAGACCACCTTGAGACAAGTGAGCTTCCCATAGTGAAAGTTTCTAAAAAGAGCACAGGAACCATCCTGGAAGACTTCCAAAGAACTCTCTAGGGTGGAAGGTTACATTAAATGCCTTTTTAGGTCCCTCCCCCAAAGTCAAGCTATCCCAACTGGCACTACCATCACCTGGGGCGATGGCCAGAATCTCAGAATGCAGTGCGTGATGTGAAGTTGGCATCCTTATAGTTGACCTAAATGTATTTTCCTCCCTTAGGAAAGGCCTGTTTTCATTAGATTTAAAAAAGAAATTTTTACCATTAACAGCTCTTTTAGGATTAAGACAGCTTTCTTTTATAATTACTTTTAGACACTGTAAAACACCTTCTTCTGTTTCCTGTAATTCTTCACCCAGCAGCATTTATAAACGTGTTTTCATCATCCCTGTCTTTCTCTTTCCAATTACCCTTTGGCTCCCTCCCTTTCTTCATTCTTTTTCATTCCTCTTCAATTCATTTTTAATCACCTCGCTGACATTTCACCAAAAGTGTTAGACTTAGCAAAAGGAGAGCAGATTTTAAAAGCTGGATATGATGGTAATAAACTGCCACCAATTCTCAACATTCAGTTATTTTTTCCTGGCATCAACAGTGTTCCACAACTAATTGCTGATGAGGGAGTTGACATTTATTTATAATAGTTACTGTTGACATTTTTTCACTGCTGATTTTCAGAATCTTTTGTGCTGTAAAATAATTATTATGATGGAAGTTGTCATTGTCATTTCCTTGACTCCCACAGGCTGTGTTTGACGTGGACAAGAAGAAAGGGCTTACTCTGATTGAGCTCTGGGAAGGCCTGACAGTGGATGACATACAAAAGAGCACTGGGTGTGATTTTGCAGTAAGTGTTTCTGTGAGCGAAACCAGCCTCTTGGGCTGTATTGCAGACTCTGAATGGGTGTTTACAAGGCATGAACCATTAATTTGTGATCATTTTGGGAAATGACCTTTGTGGTGAACAGGAGAGGAAGGAAAGGAGCCTCCAGAAGAGAGCAGGTGGGGAGCAGGAGCCGTGCTCTGACTCACAGCCTGGCCTTGGCTTTGGAGTAAAAAACAGGAGGAGCCACAGAAGCGGCTGGATCAGAAGGGCAAGCTGATTGCTCAGCCCTTCAGCCCTTTGCTGTGAAGTGTCCCTTGTTTGAATGTATGGGATGTGTGATTGAACATGATTAACTCAAAAACAAGACATGGAGAAATAATGCTTAGTTTTTTAAAAAAACCATTTATGACAGGATGTCTCAGCCTTTTTGAAATTAACTAAAAGTAAAGCTGATATATCTCTAAAAGAATGGAAGAAAGATTAGATTTTTAGATACTTTTAAAAGAAGAAATCTGCGAATTAAAAAAATGTAACAAGAAGAAAATGTGTTAATGTTGCAGCTAACCTTCTTGGAGATATAAATTCAATAAAAATTTGACAAGTCCTGCATACATTTCATATATAACTTTCTGCTATACTACACGCGTGGTTTGTACTTATCAGTGCATAACAGATTTCTTTAAAACAATCTTGTTGCATGATTCATTATCCACATAATAACTGTTTCTGGTACTATACCTAGGTCTTTGCCTATTAACCTTTTCTGAATTTCTCTTTGGAAAAAAAGAAATTCCCTAGTAATATCTTGCTTGAAAAATACATATTTAATTAACTTTTCAGTGGTCTTGGGGAGAGGTGTTACTTACACTTCAGGATTTCTTACTCTAATGATAAAACAAATCAATCTTAATCAGCTGTTCTTTAGTTTCGTTTTGTGTGTCTGTGTGAAAGGGCTACCCTGTTTATCAGGTGATATTTCTGAGATGCATAGAATTTTCAGTTGTCTGCTGCAGGAGAGAATACAAAACAAAACACCCTCATTATCTAGTTCTTTGTTATACATGCCAGTAAATCAGCAATGAAAATGATAAGCATTTACTATTTTTTGCTTGTTTTCACATAACAAGTGCCATTTCCCATATCTTCAGTTCTCAAAAAATATCTCCATGGTCCTTCTTGTATTCCAATACGATTCTTTCTTTTATTGTTAATTTTCCTGATACATAAAAATTGTACATATTTATGGAGTACATGTTTCAATACATGTATACATTGGGTAATGCTCAAATCAGAGTAAACAAATTTGTCTCCTTGATTATTTATTACTTCTTTATGATGGAAACATTGAAAATCCCTTTTCAGATTTTTGAAATGGACCTTTCCTTATTATTATCGATGGTCACCTGACTGTGCAAGAGCATAAGAGAATCTCTTACCGCTATCTAAGTGTTATGCAGTACGCATTGGTCTACTCTCCCTAGCCCTCCCTTTTTCCCTCTTCTTCCCCAGCTCTGAGGAAACACAGCTCTGTCTCAACTTCTAAAAATATATAAATGCAACAGAGATCATGTGAAACTTGTCTTTCTGTGCCTGGCTGATTGTATTCAACATGCTGACCTGCATTTTTATCTATATATTCTTAAATAGCAGGAATTCATTATTTTTTATACCTAAGTAATATTCTACCTTGTATATGTATCATGTTTTCTATATTCATCAGTTGATAGATGCTTAGTTTGTTTCTGTTTATTGACTGTTATGAATAGTGCTGCCATGAATGCGGGAATACAGAGGACTCTCCCATGACTGATTCCATTTTCTTTGGCTCTGGACCCAGAAGTGGAATTCTGGGGTTATATAATACTTCCAAGTTTTTGAGGCACCTACATACTGTTTTCCATAGTGGCTATTCTAATTTACATTACCATGAATGGTGTTCTTTTACCTCTACATTTTTGCCAGCACTTGTTATCTTTTGTCTTTTCAAACTTGATTGTAGCCAAAAGGCCAATTTTTTTTTGTTTTTTTCTGATAACTAGAGTGAGAGGATGTTTCTTTGTGATATTGATTTGTATTTATTTTTTATTTAGAGACAAAAAGCAAAACAGAAAAAAGTGTAAAAATAATACAGAATTTGAAAAAAAGCAGTAAGAAATCACTAGTTGATAAATTACATACTGTTATCTTAGAAGTAGTTGCTCGTCACAAAAATCAAAGCATAAAAAGTAGACAATCCAAATAATGACAGTACAAATCATTCTGTTTGATGAACTAACAAAAACTTTGTAGTATGGTTATCTATCTTGCACACTTACACATGCATAAACTACTAAGGAGTAACAACATGCCTGTACCGCATCCTTGCTTCTCCCAGATGCAAGAGAGATCATGCACAACATGTCTTTCTGTGCCTGGCTTATTTTCCTCAGCATACTGACCTGCATTTCCCTTTCATTATTACAGTATCTATTACACATTTTGGATCTTTTAATCCTTCAGGTTTTGTTATTTTATACTAGAGAGACAACATGATATTTACAAATGTGAGTCTGATGTATTTCACTTATGAGGCTAGTTTCAAGTTGTCTCCATTTAACTATAAAAGCTTCAAGATCCATCCTTTTTATAGCTGAGTTGTTTTCAAGATTTACCTATAACAAACTGTGCTGTTATAAACATGGGTGCACATATATTACTGTGACATGACCTTTTCCGTTTTTCTGGGAAAATACCCAGGAGGGGAATAGCTGGATTGAGTGGAACTTCCAATCCTAGTTTTTTGAGGAATCTCAATACTGATTTCCACAGTGGCTGCACCAGTCTACACTCCCACCAACAGTGGAGAAGGGTTCTTTTTTCCCTGCATCCTCACCAACATTTGTTATCAGTTGATTTCTTGATGGCAAGCATTCTTTCTGAAGAGAGATGAAATCTCAATTCTGTTTTAATTGGCATTACTCAAATGACCAGTGATGGTGAACATTTCTTCATAGATTTATTTGCCATTTGTATGTCTTCATCTGAGAAATGTTTTTTGAATGTCTTTGAATTTGGGGGCCTGATGTTTTTTAATTCTTTATATGTTTTAGACATAATTCCTTTGTATGAGGGGTTGCTGGTTAAAATTTTTTCCCATTCTATGGGTTTTCTTTTCACTCTGTTGGTGATTTCCTTTGAAGTGCAAAAACTTTTTAACAATATGAGGTCTCAGTTGTTGATTCCTTGGAAGTGTTTCCCCTGCAATTTGCGTTTTGTTCATGAATGCTCTGCCTACTCCTATGTCTCCAAGATTTGCCTACCTTGTCTTCCAATAGATTTAGTGTTTCTGTTTTAATATTTAGATCTTTGACCCATTTTGACTTTAGTTTAGTGCATGGTGATAGACATGGGTCTAGTTTCAGTCTTCAGCATGAGGAAAGCTAGTTTTTCCAGCACCATTTATTAATGAGGCTATCCTTCCAGTGAACATGTTTAGCCCCTTTGTCAAATATCAGGTGGCTGAGTGTCTTTGTAGTTGGGTCTGCATCTTTTAATCTGTTCCATTGATCCTCAGATATGTTTCTTTGGTATTACCATGATGATTTTATCACTGTAGCTTTGTAATATAATTTCAAGTCATGAATCGAGATACCTCCTTCTTTGCCTTTGTTGCCCAGAATCGCCTTTGCTATTCTACATTTCTTCTGTTTCCAAATGAATTTAGAAATGTTTTCTTTAGATCTATAAGGTATGTTTTGGGGTCTTATCCAAAATTAAAAAAAAAAAAAATTCTTTCCCATTCCAATGTCATGACACATGTTTTTTCTAGTAATTATTTCCATAGTTTTTACAAACACAGCTGCATACATACACACTTTCACACATCTTTAATAAGTCAAACTGAATTTTATAATAGGTTGAGATGTCCAGATATATGAATTCAGTTTCATCATTTTACATGTAATATAAATATATGTAAATAAATTTCTCGCAATATAATTCTCCCAGGAACATTTATTGAGAAAATTGACTTTTTCTAATGTGTATTTTTTAACAACTTTGCTCAAAGATCAGTTGATTGTAGAGGCATGGATTTACTTTTAGGATCTCTATTCTGGCCCTTTGGTCCATGCCCCTATTTTATGTCAATGTTGTGCTCTTTTAAATATAATATTTTAAAGTTGGGTAGATTAATACCTTCTGTTTTGTTCTGTTTAACGTGACTGGCTATTAGAGGTCATTGTTTTGTTTTGTCTTGTTTTGTTTTGGTGGTTCATATGAACTTTAGGATTGTAAGATTGCTTTTTCTAGTTCTATGAACAAAGATATTAGTATTTTGATAGGAATTGTACTTATTGCATAGATCATTTTGTTGTTGATTCTTCCAATCCAATGAATACCACTTTTTTGTGTCCACTCTAATTTTTTTCATTAGTGTTTTATACTTCTTATCTGTTAATGGATATCTGGGTTACTTCACATTTTGGCCATTGTGAATAGTGATTGTATAAATATGTCCTAATTAGAAATTTTTTGAGCATCTATTCAAAAGTAGAATTGCTGAATCATGTGATAATTCTATTTTAATTTTTTGAGGAACCTCTATATTGTTTTCTGCAATGACTGGAAGATTTACATTCCAATTGTACACAAAGGATTCCAGTTTTTTCTCATCCTCATCAATGCTTATTTTCTGTTTAATAGTAGACATCCTAATGGGTGTGAGTCATATCTCATTGTGCTTTGCTTAGCATTTCTATTGTGATTACTCACATTTGGCATTTTTTTAATGTGCCTGTTAACCATTTATGTATCTTCTTTGGTGAATTTTTATTCAGTTGCCCACTTTTAAAATCAGGTTGGTTTTATGTGTGTGTGAACCAGTGGAAGTTCCTTTTGTATATTCTGGGCATTAATTTCCTCATCAGACAATGACTTGAAGATATTTCCTCCTGTTTCACAAATTGCCTTTCCTTCAGTTGCTTATTTCTTGTGATAAGCAAAAGTTTCTATGTTTGAAATAGTCTCTAGAGTTCTTTTGTATGCCAGTAGCATAAAATAAAGAGGATTATTTTTCTCCCATTACCCTCACAGTTGAGAGACATTTATCTCCCAAATACGTGACAACTAATAATTCTTCCTATTATTGCACATATCTCCATATTGTGTCTTGACAAGCTAACGAAAATGTCAAATTCCATTATTTTATCTATACTTGTTCACTGTGTTACTTGATTGGCCAAAATGGCAAGAAAGGGAAAAGAAAGATGACATTTCATCACTTAAAATATCACTTTTCAGTGAGAAGGGAATTCAGTTGATTATTTCTTTTCTGATAAATGCTTAACTTATATTAAATTCACCATAAATCCCTAGGATCCTTTTGAAAAAAATTTTTTTTAGCTTTTACTAAAAAAGTAAAATAAAAATGAATTTAATCATTAAATAATGAATTTATTTGAACATCATATAGTAAAATAAACTTCCACAGTTCTTAGTCAACTATAATTATTAAACATTCACATTAAGCTATGAAATATGACAAAATAGAACTAATTAGTACAATGCTCACTAATTAGGGCCTTGGTCTTATTCTTCTGACACAAATACGCCTATACCTACACCACCAGCAACAAAAAATTAAATAGAAACATTCTGAAAGAAACTAGCTGCAGTCATTCTTTACCAAATTCAATACATTTTTATTTATTGTGAACTGGCATTGTACTAGAATTAAGCAGTATACTTTTGGGATGTCAGCTGGCTGGGAAGACAAATTGTTGGCTTACCTCTTACACCTAAAGCTTATTTTCTGCGCTTAGCCTGAGGAGGCCATTGGCAGAATAATGTGCTTTGGCTTGCATGAGCTTACAGTGCTGATGATACTGTGGGGGAACAGAGGGAGAAGTGGTGGCTTGATAGACTTTTTCATTACGAAATAGACAAGCCAAGTCAGTCTTCATAAAACTTTATCTTCTTTTCCAATAAAAGTCAGTTTCAAAATTGAGGATATGAATAACATTAAGAGCTCAAAATAGGGCTGACAAAGAAAAGGATCTAGTGTTTCATTTAAAAAGTTGAAGGTATCCGGTTTCCTTTTAAAGGAAATGCTCTAAGTATCTATTGGAAATGGTCTGCTTTCAAAAAAGAATAATTTAATTTCAATAAATTATTTCCACAGATGCCCTGTTATTAAACAAAATGAAAAAATGACATACATATTTAAATACAAAGACTCATATACCTTCATTATCTGTAGTAGACTTGTGATCTATATATATGGACTATTACTTTTTCTATTACTATGTGTCTGATCTTGAACTGGCAAGGCTGAATGCATTCTTATTTATTCTGAGCTCAATGCCAAGCTGTGTTGATCACCTTTGTTCATTCGTTTAGTAGAAAATATTATTTTTATTCTTATTTACTCTTAGTCACTTTTAGAACAAAACTGAAGTAAAGGTCATTAAAAATGTTTGACATTATGAGGGGTTAATACAGAAGTTATTTATAAATGAAACTAAGGTATTCTCATCAGGAACAATTAATTGCCTGCTTTTTTAGTTTTTAATACTGGCCTAACCATTCTTAGAAAGCCTTTCTCTAGTTCTCTGAAGTTTATTTAATCCTGTATTAAATCATCTATTTATTAATTGTACAAAATATTAATGGTTTATACTGGAAGGCAAAGCGTTAACATGGTCCATTAGCATGGTCATATCAAAAAGCACTTACATTTTAATATTTGGTGTTGTGCTTTCCAGAGAGTGTTCCTAACTAGGGCCCTGTCATCTTAAATTAAGAAATGTGGCCTGGTGTGCTGGCATGACCAGGTGTGTTAGTACACACCTATAATCATTGCACTCAGGAAGCTGAGGCAGAATGATTCCTGGGAATTTGAGGCCAGCCTGTGATACACAGTGAGTTTAAGACCAGCCTGGATTACATGACAAGACCCTACCTCAAAAGCAAATAAAACCCAAAGAAATCTGTACCAGGCATTATATTTTGAATGATCTATCACATTGGACCCACCTCATGTACATTCAGGATTCTCCTTCTAGTAGCTCTACCTTAAATGTAACATTCATTTTTATTTTCTCTTTGTCAAGAGTCCCAGGAATGAGATCACTGTTATATACACTGAACGTAATCACTATGTAATACTTTTAATGCTGTTACCACCCTTTGTCATAATTTGGAATTATGTACCGCTTTTGTATAATTTTCCTCCTGATTCTGAAACTTCTGATAAGATTTGTCATTGATCATTTATCTTTTCATTAATACATACCCAGGTGATTCAAAGAGTGCATCAGTTGCAAATCCTCCATTTTGAAGATTTGGAGGCTTGTGCTTTGCACTACCTTGACCGAGGTCTCAGAGTTACAGCCCAGAGGGCAGTGGCCCATCAAATGGAGGCCTTGCCCATCAGGATCCTCACCTTGTCTCCCTCTGCTCCTACCCCGCCCCCTTCTTGTTGACAGCCCCAGCCATCATTAATTTAGAAGGTGAAATGCCAGAAGGTTAAGAATGACTGAGTACCCAAATGTGCTCAGCAGCTGTGTTTCAGTGGTTTCAGAATGAAAAATATTACCTACTGAGGCAACTTTGTTATGCCCCCAGTGGCCTCATATGGACAAAGACAGGGCTTATGGAGGGTCACTGGATCTGGAGGTGCTGTACTCATCAGTGTAATCAGCTAGTTACAAGCTCCACAGCTAAGTGTGTCAGACCCATCCTGAATCACTGGGAAGGGTATACCTCCCTCCTTGTCTCCTTTCATGGCTCTCTGTTACTTGGTTGCCATGACACGGGCAGCTTTCCTATGCCGTGCTCTTCTATCATGCTATTTCTGCTCCAAACCTCACTGACTATGGGCAGTAAGTAAACCTCTCCGTCTTTAAATTATCGATGCCAGTTACTGTGTCCCAGCAAGAAGGAAAGCGACCAAGACAGCATTGTTCATGGCAAGGCTGCTTGTTGCCTGTATCATACAAGTTTAGAAATTCAAACGAGATGTGTGTATCAGGTGGTTTGTCATATTTTGATTTTTTTTTTCCTTTCTTTTACTAGGTTTCACCAAAGCTCATCCCAATGCAGCAGATCACAACTTGAAATGTGGAACAGAAATTATCCCCGGCTATTAGTTTTTCATTTTAAACTCATAGGATTTCATTAAAAAGACGTCAGGATCACAACTGTATATTTAACAAGCTGTTTTGATAAGTTTTCTTTTAGTAATTCAGGACTTACACAGCCGTATAGACTTTGTTCTCAAGCATGTTATGACATTTTAATGAAAACAGAGGGAAAATATTTATGCTTACCTTGTTTTGTAAGTGCTGAGAAGGTTGTCTTTTTAGCATTGGTGCTCATGTTGGATGTACTCATATCTTTATCTTGTGTGGTAGATTATATGCAGTATTCACTAAAGTTAGGCCCTAGCAAGAGTTTCATTGATATGCTTTCCTTCATAATTAAACTATGGCTTAATAGTCCTGAGGAAAAAATATGTGTGAATTTGATATTCGGAAGAATGCTCTCTTAATGATTATTTTTCCTTCAGCTGTCTTTGCCTTTCATTAGGGGCTCTGATTTTGTGATTATGTCTTGTTTCCTTAGACGATTCCCTTTCCGCCCATACACTTTGTAACTAAATAGATACCCAAGAAGACAAGGGGAAATGTCTCTGGGAAGAAAGATAACTGGAAGAAAGATAACTAAAAAAAAAAATGTTTTCAAAAGGATCCTAGGGATTTATGGTGAAAGAAGGTATAGACTCTGAATTGGTGCTGAAATCTCACTAAGAATTTGCCTTTATGGACAATCATGCATCTATTTGTGCCTTCCCAAAGTCTAAGGAAGAGGGCTAGAAACCTAACTAATCAACAGAAACAGCTTTAAAGTTTTCAAAAACAACATTGTATTCTTTTATATCCAGAAAAATTCTTAAGATTGTTTCTCTCTGCTAAGGCCCAGTAGGCTACTTGTACTTACTGTTAGGCCAAGAATGGCTATGAGTAATTTATCACAATGAGAACAGAATTCAAAGACAGGAAAATAACAGACATGTACATTTTTAAGCTCATATTTATCTTCAAGAAAGATTTTAGATACTCAGTGATTTTCTGTGGAATGATTGTTTTCTTTTCCCTATGGTACTTTACAAAAGTAGTTCTAATTTAACCTTATCTGGATAGTGGAACTCATAATGGGCAAGACATGGATTTGAAAAATGGGTGAACTTTTAGTGTTGGCACTGAACAGGATAGATTAGATTTATAAGAAGTGCTTTCTCAAGGACATCCTCAACACCAGACAGTTACTGGGGCAACAGGGCACTTCAGAAATACCCTGGGTGTCAGAAGCAAGACAATGTAGAACGTGTGACGGCACACTGGACAGCAGGCCTCTGGACAGATGGAGGCATACTGCAGTGTAATATATAACTATCTTGCCATTCAGTATAGGGATTTATGCATATTTTAGGTGATAGTTGTTAATGAAAGTCACTTCTTGTCATATATAATATTCAAGGGAAAAGAGAATTGTTTTTATAAGTACCACACTTAATGTATTAAATGGCCTTTCTGGCAGGCTGCATGTTTGAAAGCATATACTCCCAGTACTAGTTAAAAAAACAAAATAACTTTTCTTATAATGTACTCGGTACATGAGGGTAATATATATCTATATTAGAGTTATAATCTGGAAAAAATATTTTATTGATTGATGTAGTTTCAAAGTTACTTGCTTATCATTCCAATCTTTAACATGTGATTCTAAAAATGTTCTAAACAGTGGCAAAGTCTAAGTTAATAACTCAATATTCTTGGTCAAAGAGTGCTGACATGTTAACAACTGCATTAAGAAATACAATAAAGATCCAACTAGAAAGAGATCAGTGTCTGTGTTCTTTTTCTTATTTGGAAATGGTGTGGCTAAACCTGGAAATAATACAACAAAGATTGTTAGAATAACCAACCATGTCAGTACACTTTATCACTTCTAATCAGGTTGTTGCTTTTCTTTTTATCTTACCAAAGAAAATAAACTGGTTTTCTAGAAAGAACAAACAAAGCATGATCTAAATGAATTCTGTACCTTGCTCCTTGTCATAACCAATCACATGCCTGTTAAAATTGATTGAGGTTTCATGTGTTAATATTTTTGGCTTTTATCTAGCATTTCTCTCTATGAAACACATATTAATTTCCCAGTGTCTCATTATGGTAGTTTTATGTTGTTTCCTGTTACTGTGCCCAGCATGTGTTGCCCAGTGATAGACTTCCCCTCTGGCCAACGGGTAACAATTTCCTGGGATGCTATTTTTGATAGCTTTTCTCTACTCATTTTGATCATACCCATGGTTGATACATAATGTAGACTGTCCCAGGTTATTTCTCTCACATTTAAAGAATGGAGGCAAGGAACAGGCCATAAAGCCATAAGAATATAAGTCTGGCAGGAATACCTCTTTTCCCCATGCGCATGCACACACATGCACACACACGCACATAGAGTACCAGCTGAACTATAGTTGGAAAGAAGTCAAAATGGAAAATATGGAATTAAAGAGAAGGAGTAATCGTGTTATTTGGGGTCCTGCTTCTGTGTATTTCTAAGGCCAGCTTCCCTCCATGCCCATATATGAACCCACAAATTTCATTTTGCTTGAACAGGGTATTTGTCACCCGCAACCCCAGTAGGAAACCATATAGCTTTTGTAATTCTCAAGTTCTAAGAAGGATCTGGCCTACAGAAGTTATGCATCATATGAACAAAATTGCTTTTGTCTAGACCAGAGAACATGTATAAGAGAATTTGTGAGTGTTACTAAACAAGTAGAAAAGGTTGATGGAGGATTTCTTTCTTTTGTGATTTCAGTGTATTCACAAGTTTGACTTTTGTCCCAGTGGAAGCATAAGCAAATAACAAATCATTGGTTGGGTTTCTTTTGCACTAACTTCCCTTTTCTTATATGATATGGTCTTGAAATTTTTAAACTGTTTTTCCTTAAATTCTCTTTTTAAAATAGCAAGAGTACACTGTTTTCCATTGTGGTTCTATAAGGTATAATATATTTGGCTGTAAAAAGATTTATGTATCTTTAAAAACACTATGCCATAATATTGTCTTGGGGGAAAATTGTCTTGTTTCTGTCCTTTTAGTTTTTCATTGTCCATCATGGCTTCCTACTGGATGCTATACTGAGGATCAAACTGGGTGTAAGCATAAATACCAATAAATGTAATATGACCTGAGTGCATATCTGTGTGAAAGTTTCCTGCCTCTGTAGTTAGATATATCTGTCTGTTAAAAATTCTAACCACTTGTAGATTACATATATACAATTTCCTGGAGAGAGATCCCTTTACCAATTCAGATGACTAATTGATAAGACAATTCCTTCACTCAGAGTCACAGTAAAATACAAATCATGTTTGATTGTACTATGCTCAATGACCCTTTTAAAAAAAAAAAAAACTTCAGGTAACTGTGTCCTAGCTCTCTTTAGCGTGACAGTAGTCATATCAGTATTTCTGCTGAGAGACAATGAGGTCCTGGATGCCCCAAACCGACATTTTGTATCTTTGGTTCATTTATTAGTAGCCTGGTGGCCTTTGAAAAATTTTCAAGAGGTAATTAGACAGCTTCAGAAGACTGGTGTTCTTTTTGAAGCTCCTCTCTTGATTGAGGGGTAAGCGATTGTAGCTCTTTTGTCTTCTAGAGTCAGAATGCCCAAAACCTTAAATCTCTAAAGCTGCTTTTATCTGTGGCTCCTAATCCATATATCCAATAAATGTAGGTAAGAATCTAAACATTTTCTTGCTCATTCTTGGCCAGATACTTCAAAATTAGTGTGCAGTGCTAGATCTTTGTTTTAAATGCATGTATTTAAATTTTTTAAAATTAAAGTACTAGTTGAAAACAGGTGATGCTAGACCAAGTTTAAAGGATTCCTCTCACTTTGTCAGATAAGAACTTTGAGGAAGATGCAAAAGGAAAAAAATCAGAGGTGGAATCTAGAGACTACAACAAAGAAATAAGCCTCTCTTAACACTTTATAAAACACCCAGAATATTCTAGCTAGTTATTTGATTTTCACTATAACCTGTCAGTGAGACAGTATTACTTCCATTAAAATTAACTTGATTTTTCTGAGAAAAGTAATGTCCACGAGTTCTTTAATCAAATTAGTCTTTCAAGGCTAATGCCGAATATTTCTAACTTAGTTAATGAGATGTGAATTAAATCCTCTGAACAGAACTAGATTTGTTATTCTTTGGTAAGCTGTAAAACAGCCTGATCACTTTAAACCTAATGGAACATTTATTCAAATTTTGTTCCCTTTGTCCATAAGCTCTTGTACAGAGTTTTTAAGGAAATGAGTAGTTATTCAGAAAAGAATAATTGGAATCCTACCTAGAAGACAAGAGGAGTCTGTGGAAGATTCTGTTACAAAGTGTGAGTCTATTCTTACAGGTAAGAAAGCTTGTTTGACACCAACAGGAAAGATTAAAAGGTATTCTTTTATCTTTGGCATTAACCGTTCTAGTGCTCAAATGTGGTGTTGTGTCTTAGATTTCTGTCTACTTTCTCTTCCAGTAAAGTTAGTGTTTCTGTTTTAATATTCAGATATTTGATCAATTTTAATTTTAGTTTAGTGTGTGATGATAGACATGGGTCTAGTTTTAGTCTTTGGCATGTGGAAAGCCAGTTTTTCCAGCACCATTTATTAAAGAGGCTGTCTTTCTTCCAGCGAACATATTTGGCCTCATTATCAAAGATAAGGTGGCTGAGTGTGTCTGGAGTTGCATCTGCATATTCTAATCTATAGAAAATCATCAACAACAATGTACTCATGACCAGGTAAGATTCATTCTAGGGATGCAGGGATGGTTCAACATACGAAAATCAATAAATGTAAAACACCATATCAACAGAGCCAAAGACAAAAACCACTTGATTATCTCAATATATGCAGAAAAAGTATTTGACAAAATTTACACATTTATGATAAAAATTCTACAGAAACTTGAAATAGATGGTCTGTCAATCAGAAAAAAACCATCTATGTCAAACCAACAGCTAACATACTAAACAGTTAAAAACTGAAAGCTTTTACTCTACAATTAGGAGCAAGACAAGGATGTCCACCATCACTACTCCTGTTTAATATAGTTCTGGATACATTAGCCAAAGCAACTAGACACAAGAAATAAAAAGAATAAGGATAGGAAAAATTATCATTATTTGAGGATGACATGATATTCTACATAGAAGACCCCAAAAACTCCACCGAAAACTTCTAAATTTAATAACCAAAGTAAGTAGTGTAGCTGGATACAAAGTCAACACAAAAATCAGTAACATTTCTATACACAAATAACAAACTCAGAAATTAGGGAAACCATACCCTTTGCAATAGCATCCCCCAAAATGAAATACTTAGAAATCAGTCTAACCAAGGAATTAAAAGATTTATACATAGAAAATTATAGTTGTCTGAAAAAGGAGATTGAAGAGAGCATTAGGAAATGGAAAATGACCACACTCCCAAAATTCTTACATATTTAATGCAATCCTGATCAAAATACCATTATCATACATTACAGAGCTAGAGAAAACATTCCTAAAATTCATTTGGAAACTGAAGAGACCAAAAATATAAAAAACAATTCTGTACAACAAAGGCAAATTATACTACAAAGCTACAGTGATAAAATTAGCATGGTACTGGCAAAAAGAAAAAAAGACAGGGTCAATGGAACAATAGAAAATGCAAACACATTTTTCTGATGTCCTCTTAGATCCCTCTTTCAGAGTGACATCGTTTTCATGGTAAGCGATTTTCATTACCTTGGTTAGATTACTTCCTAGGTATTTAATTTTTTTTGATATTGTGAATGGTGTTGCTTTCCTAGTTTCTTTCTCAGTGAGTTCATTATTAATGTATAGGAACACTATTGATGTTGTGTGTTTATGTAGTTGCTACACTACTGAGTTTGGTTCTTGATTTTAGGAGTACTTAGGTAGAATTTTTTAGATCTTGTAAGTAGAGGATCATGTCCAAGTAATGATACTTGGATTTCTTCCTTTCCTATATGTATCTATTTCATTTCTTTGTCTCACCTGATTGCTTTGGCTAATGTTTTGAGGACTATGTTAAAAGAGTGGTGATGGTGGATATCATTGTCTTATCTGATTTTAGAGGGAAGGTGTTCAGTTTTTCCAATTTAAAATGATGTTGGAATTATGTTGTTGAATAAATGGCTTTTGTCAGATCAAAATAAAGTCTTCCTATGCCTATTTGTTCTATTGGATGTTTTGGGGTTGTTAACTTCATTGTCTCTATCTAGAATATTTTTGAGTGTCTGTTTGGTGGTCATGAGTTTTTTTAAGTGCTATTTACTTTGGAGATATCTTACATCTCCATCGCCTTTGAAAGATAATTTTGCAGGACATATCAGTATGGGTTGGAAGTTGTTTTCAAATGACTCCCTCCAAGCTCAGTAATACTTCTAATGGTTTTCTTTGACTTGTGAACTCTCTTATTATCTCAAGAAATCTATCAGCAAATGCTTGGCCCCAAATAGATGCTCAAAATTTAAGCCAGTAAGTGAATAGAGTAGATGAATTAATGAAAAAGAATTCTGTGGCAGAGGATAATATTCAAGCAAAATTCAATTTGTCTTTTTTAGAAAATTGAGTTCCAAATAGTGACTGCAAATAAATACATAACAAGAGAACATTCTAGTAAAATATCTTTCTCTCTCCCTACCCCTACTTTTGTATTTCTTCTAATTTATCTTCAGAGGATGTTTATTCAGCATTTTATCCATCAAAAGTCCAAACAGATTTTTATTATATAGCTTCTGAAACTACATAATGAATTGG